TCTTGGAAATGATCATGGCTACATTTGGCTATGCATGTGCTAATTACATGAATCTAACGGGGGGAAGACATGTGAGTATGAGTACAGAGGAGAGTAAACATGGATTGTTGATTTTTCTTGCATGTGATTGTTTTATGAATTAATAGTTGGGAGGGAGTTGGGTGGGTTATCTGTAATATCAACTCTGGACTCTAGGATGCTTATTTGTTTTTATTAGTTTGTCCTTTGACTCGTACCCACTGAGAGGGGGCCAGATGAATGCAAAGAAACTTGCTGGGTTGGGTTTTAGAAACTGTAGAAAAGTTCTTGACCATCATGATTTCCATTTCTGTTTGGTGAAACGAAATAAAAACTGAAATGCCCTAACCATAAGTAATTTTCACAATAGCACCTGCATAACTTTTACGTTTTCCCAAGCCTTCTTTGCCTTATAGCCGTTAAGGTTTTGACCTTTCTGTTCAGGCTTCATCCCTAACTGACTAATTTTTTAGGTCTGTTAAGCCCTGGACCCTGTCTGGTTTGACAATTGACAAGGAAAGGGTGAAGCAAATTTTTTTTGTTTTTTTTGCAATGTCTATTGTAAAATTGGAATAATCACTCACCAGTCCCCCCCCCCCGGGGGAATCTCTTTTTAGTAGTTTTTAGAAGAAGGGGCATAATTTTATTTTATATATATATTTTTTTGTGAATCAGTGTAAGCGTTATTTTTTATCTTCTAAATCACTTTATTCACTTTATTCCCTTCTCATTTCCATTTTTTTATATCAAATCGGGATATGGCAGGTTTTTTTTTTTTTTTTCCTCGCTAAGCATCTTTAAGGTGATTAAAAGAAAAAAAGAAAAAACTTGCTCTTATCAGCCATTAATATTCAATATTGGAGTGAAGAAATACCAACTTCTTACTAAGCTACTGTAATCTTGGTCTTCACCAATATAAATCTTTGTCCATACAGAAATATGATGTTGTGGAGGATAAAAAGTTCAGAGAGAAGGGATGCATGTTTGATTAAGCAATGTGGACTGTTGAATATCCCTCTCAGTCTCTCACTGTATGCTGATAAAAATAACTGAGAGTCAGGCTAATTTGCTAAATTTATGTATGCTTTTTAGTTTCCACATAATCTTTTGTACCAATTCTTTTCTTTTTTCCCCTTCTTTTTTTCTCTTATCAGTTCTAAAGGGAGAGTAGTTAGAGGAGACAATCTTATAGCATTAATTGGTGGTCATGGATCAATCGGAGCAGGCACAACAGCAGCCGCAAAATCATGCAGCAGGAGTTGCTGCCGGCCCTGGCCAGATGGCCTATTCTACTCACTACCAGACTGCTCCCATGGTAGCTTCTGGAACACCTGCTGTAACTATACCTTCCTCAGCACAGCCTCCAGCCCCGTTCTCAAATTCCCCTCACCAAATTGCTTACCAGCAAGCACATCATTTCCACCATCAAAAGCAGCAGCAGCAGCAACAGCAGCTTCAGATTTTTTGGGCTGACCAACTGCGAGAAATTGAGCAAACGACTGACTTCAAGAATCACAGTCTTCCACTTGCTAGGATAAAGAAAATAATGAAAGCTGATGAGGATGTCCGGATGATTTCAGCAGAGGCCCCAGTCATATTTGCGAAAGCATGTGAAATGTTTATCCTGGAGTTGACTCTGCGCTCATGGATCCACACAGAAGAAAACAAGAGGAGAACACTGCAGAAGAATGATATAGCTGCTGCAATTTCAAGGACTGACGTATTCGATTTCTTGGTTGACATTATCCCAAGAGATGAGTTGAAAGAAGAGGGGCTTGGAGTAACAAAAGCTACAATTCCGGTTGTAGGTTCCCCAACTGATATGCCATATTATTATGTCCCACCACAGCATCCTGTAGGACATACTGGGATGATCATGGGAAAACCAGTTGACCAGGCAGCACTATATGCTTCACAGCAGCCTCGACCTCATATGTCTTTTATGCCGTGGCCTCAAACACAACCATCACAACAGCCACCGCCACCTGATCAGCAACAAACAGACACTTGACAACTATGGCCAATCAAATTAGAAAACAGAATGCGTCTTCTGATTGCTAATGGTTAACTTCTAAGGCTTTTATGCAGCAGTAGTTTAGTCTTCTTCATTGGCAACTGCGAAGTCCTTGCCATATATGCAGTGCTTGCATTGCATTAAAATGGTGCTTGTATGAGCTCTGATCTTTGAGCATTTTATATGGCTGAGTTTGGTTTCAGTAATTGGTTTGGTAGTTACACTAGTTTGGGGTAGTTCTCATGTAGAGTTTAGGAAGTCGGAGGTTGATGGGAAAAAGGGTCTATTTTGCGCTGTAATTTTTATGGAGGCTGGTTGATTTCTACATTACATTTTATTATGATGGATAATTTTCGATCTCGTGATTCAGGTCCTCTCAGTTCCTCGTCTCTGGCAACTTAGCAAGTTCGTAGGTTTGTCAAGGTTTTTGAATAATGATAATTCGTTAGTCCTCACCAAGTTTGAAGATTGTATGGCTTCCAAGGGTGTTCATGGGACGTCCCAGTCCCGTTCCTGGTGAATAGGGATAGGATAGGGATTTTGTCCCGTGTCCTGATCCGTTCTGGTTCTGTCTCAGTCTTAACAGAATCGGGATGGATAGGGACATCCTGTTTCCCTTTTTTATTAAATATATATATAATTTTTTAGATGAATTTTTTTATGTTATAATGTTTATTTTTATTGAGTTTCTAAAGATAAAAACATCATTAAAAAATATTATGTAGAATGCGCAATTATATAGTATAAAAAAGATGTAAAAATAATACTGTGAAAAAAAATACAGGAAAAAAAACACTTTATAATATCTTTATGAATTATTTTATTGAGGAATGAGATTTTGTTAAGATAATACTATATTAAGAACTAAAAATCACTATAAAAATAATTATTATTATTATTAATAAGTAAATTTAATAATTTAATAATAATTATTAATAAATAATTTTTTAAAAAAATATTTCGGGCCATCCCGTTCCAGTCACTATTCCCGTCCCGTACCTGTTCTGTCCAGAAATTTTTTTTGTTCTGTCCTGTCCCGTCTCGAACTCACCGAGACCAGGATGAGACAACCGGGACAAGACAAACTGAACACTCCTAGTTCCAACACTGAACATTATGCACATGTATGATTTTAATAAAATTTAACAGTAGGAAATGGTAATTTATTTATTATATTTTAAAAGTAAAATACCCGGCCAAAATTTATAATTACTCTTCACATGCAAGTAATCTTAGCCCTTGTTCGAATTAAATTTATGGAATTATTTGACATGGGGAACAAATTGAAAAAATAAAATAGATCAATGAAATGTTTCAAAAGATTATCAAGATTAACCAGCTTAGATTTTTTCTTTTCTAAATGCTATAATGTTTTTGCTCAAAAAATACTCTAATTATTTGGCCAAAAAAATACTATGAATACTATTATAATTCCGGCGGGAAAAAAACTTTTTTTGACCTGGTGTCTCTCTCTCTCTAAATGCAATAATCACTTTTTTTGACCTTGACCGAAATGTAATAATTAATTTAATCGAACATGGACGGAGAAGGAAAGCTACAATTACTATAATTTATACGAATTCATGTTCCAGCTAAGCTGTTTTATTCGAATCCTCGTTTGCCTTCAGCTCCAGAGTTCTCGGTGAGGGAAGAAACGAAGACTATGGCCATGGATTCACCATTCAAGCCAGATGTATTGAAGGGCAAGGTTGCTCTTATCACAGGAGGAGGCTCAGGAATTGGATTCGAAATATCCACGCAATTCGGCAAACATGGTGCTTCCGTTGCCATCATGGGTCGACGCAAGCAAGTTCTCGACTCTGCTGTCTCTGCTCTCCAATCCCTCGGAATACCGGTAATTTCTCCTTTGGAAATTGATTTTAAGATTCTGTCCACGGTCTTGAAATTTTCTTTTTTTTTTTCCTTTGCAATCCACCATCTTGAATGTTGAACTTTTACTTTCTCATCGTTTCGTTCGGGTTAATCAAATTCCTTCCTATTTCTGTGCTCCGCAACTTCGACCCAGTTTTGGGATTTCTTTGATTCTCTGGAAATAATCCGGCCGAGAAGAAAAACTTCAACTGTCGACCCATTCAGTCAGATGATCATTGGTATTTATTTTGTATTTAAAGAAGCAAACGCCAGACATAGGAACACTACCCTATAGGGATCTCTAGATGAAACAATGAGTTTAGATGTTACTTGGTATTAAATAACACATTATCAATAATAGTTGAGCTCACAACTTGCATAATTGTTATCTCGTACTGAAAATGGGACCTTTCCTTCTAACCGGGGCCTTTCGTCCAAATAGTTATGGTTAACATGTCCTCATGCTGAAGTTAGTAATTGAGTTGAAATGAAAGGTCGATTCATTGGGCTTACAGAAAAGAAGGCTATCTGAATCGTACGTAGTAAGCAGTAACCTTGTTAAAAGAAGCTCACTGTAGTGACCTCTTATTATGCTTCTTATTTGCCTAGTTACAGGTTAATGACGCAACCATCAAAAGTAATGTTCGGAAGTGCTTATGCTATATGTATCCCCTTCCACTAACTACACCAGATTCCTTACTGGTTATTCGATGTCTATTATTAAGTGAGCCACGAGAATATCTATTTATTATGTTTTTTATTGTTGTCTATTCATTCACCTCTTGAGTGACGGATTGTGCATGTTCTCTCTTGATTGCTTATAGCCTTATAGAAAAGGGCTAAAAGCTGACATTGATGATCACTTTTCTTATGTAGTTTGTTGAAATGTCAATAGAGATGACATTTTTGTAATATATGTTGTGGAAATGGTCATTGATGACTATTTTTGGGCAATCTAAATCATTTGAGCATTTCACTTAGGCTATTGGATTTGAGGGGGATGTTCGCAAGCAAGAAGATGCAGCAAGAGTAGTGGAATCGGCCTATGAGCATTTTGGAAGGATTGACATTCTTGTGAATGCTGCAGCAGGAAACTTTCTGGTGTCAGCAGAGGATCTATCTCCTAATGGATTTCGAACAGGTTGTTTTACTTTAAGAATATTGGCTTGAATTTTTTTCCCCTTAAGGTGGGGATCCTAGCATAACATGAGTCCTAATCCTCTCCCATGATAGAGGAAAAGCAGCATGGAAAGAGAAGAAACAGGTTAATGATTAATGTTTAGCATACTTTATGTCAAGCAATTCTAAAGTGATATGGAGATGCATTTGCTTGTTAACGATGTCTCAAAAATTTTCTGTTTTATCAAATAAAGAAGGATGGTTAGAAAAAACAAGATGTTTTTTGGGGAATCTGAATTGTAGAACTTCTGGCCTTCAGCGAATAAAGATGAGTGAAAAATTTGTTTTTTAACAAAAGAATTTACTGACACTCACCTTCTATCAATTTTTTATGTTATATGCTCCTGTTGGACTTCATGGTTATTATATGTATGAAACATTCATGTTTTCGCACTCTTAAAAGGCCTGACCACAATCTATGATCAAATATGAATGGTGAAATGCTGCTCAACTTGCAATTAAACTGTTGCTTAAGTAGTGATGTGGTGAGGGATGAAGAAATATTTTTATTCAACTTCCTGTCTTCTAGAAGCACTGGTACAGTGGTGTGCCAAATTTTAGAGGTAGTAGTTATGATGCCATTGACGGGACAACAACTATGCTGCTGCCAACAGTGGCCATGGTAATGTAGAACTGGCAAGAATAAATCCAGACAGAATTTTCCCTAGAGACCACTGCTAATGCACTTAAAAATCTGTAAATAGTTGAATAGTTTTGTGACTAGATATAATTATATTTGTGCCACTGTGCATGAGAACCCCTAAAGGCTAAAACTAAAGACACTTAGGACGTTATTCGTGTTAAACCAGTTCAATCATAATCTGATTCTCATGCTACAAAATCCCCGATTGTCTACAGAAGGCATTCATCAAGAAGTTTGGTAAGGTAAAATGCGTCATTGTGTTTTAGGCTATGAGTCAGTCTAAGACCTGTTTTTACATAACAAGTTGATTTTAGAACATAGGACACTCTGTTTTTCCTTCCTTTTTTTTTTTTCATGGACCTTACCGCAGTCTGTTAATTATTCTTATCGGGTACAAGAAAGGCAATATTGATCCATTCTAAATTTTGTTTCCAGTTATGGATATTGATTCTGTTGGAACATTTACAATGTGCCATGAGGCACTAAAGTATCTCAAGAAAGGAGGACTAGGAAGGAGCTCTTCTGGTGGGGGGTCAATACTAAACATTAGTGCTACCCTACATTATACGGCTTCTTGGTATCAAATTCATGTGTCTGCAGCTAAGGTTTGTATTTACTTTTAATGTATTATATATTTTAGGCGATATTCAAAATTTAGAGAAGTATTGTAAATGAAGGAAATAATTGCTTGCTGTGTGTATTCAAAGTTAGTACTATTATGATTGCAATGTTACTGTATTAGTATAAATTGAATCTTAAGGGTTCATTCTTGCATGCCTTATAATTGATTCTTTGATGAAAATAAGATAATATGAGATGACCAGGGTTCATTCTTACATGCCTTATAATTGATTCTTTGATGAAAATAAGATAATATGAGATGACCGACACCGCATTGAGTGGCATGAACTACTTTATCGGGAACTTAAATTGGTGGGGTCTCTTACATTAAAGTTACGTTGAAGGAGGATTTCTCACCCCAGTTAAGTGGCCATTAATTGTCATCAGAGCTTATGTTTGATGGCTCTAGATAGGGCTCTAGGTAAAGGATTATAAATGGTGGGGAGATGTAGTAAAGTGTCATCTATTGCGGCTGTTGAGATGTCAATTGTCCAAGGAGGCCAATTGATGGAGACCAATATAGTATGAGATGCTTAGTCTTGTATTTGGTATGGGCTACTTCGTATGATGCATGACTTTCAAACAAGTTGATTCTTCTGTTCCATTAGCTAGTTTTTAGAAAGAATTCTCCATCCTACTCGAGTGCCCAATCAATCTGTCAACAATATGTTTTGTTTTCTGTTCTTTCTTTTTGTTTCATCACTCTTTCTCACTCTATTATCTCAGCGATATACATGTGACATATACTTAGTTAACGTATTCTTCTCTGACAGGCGGCTGTTGATGCCACTACGAGAAACTTGGCACTAGAGTGGGGAACTGATTATGATATTAGAGTTAATGGGATTGCACCTGGTCCAATTGGTGATACTCCTGGCATGAGTAAACTGGTTCCTCAAGAAATAAATAGCAAAGCCAGAGAATACATGCCTTTGTATAGACTTGGGGAGAAATGGGATATTGCCATGGCTGCTCTCTACCTTGTATCAGATGCAGGTTGGTAACTTCATTTATTCATGCAAATACTCTGACTCGTAAACATCTTAAGTAACCCAACACAAATTGTT